GTCAAAAAAACAAAAATTATTTATATCATCCTCCTAAAATAAATGAAATGTATTAATGACCAAAACCAATAAATTCCCTCAATCCATAAGCAATATATCCCATCATCATGTGTCCAGAAACATATAATAAAGAAAAGTCCTCCTTTCATGAAATATTATAAAAACAAACAAATGGATTTGTTCCAACACGTGGATGGCTGCGGAATAAATAATGCTCTTGTGCGCTCACTTCCTTTTCTAGCCCAATATATAGGCTAATATAGCTGTTTATCCTAAAAGGATAGATGAGTACAATGTTGCTCTTAACTTCCTTTGGATGGTTCCACGCTATGATTTTCTAATCATCCACCTGGTGTCTCTCCTCTTTATACTATCCTATGTTGGTCTGAGGATAAATGGATGGATTTTTCTCCTTCTCTCCTCCAGGGGTCTATTCCTCCCTGTATTCACTCCAAAACGGCAGCAGCTGTCATCCCCAGCACAATCAGGAGCAGCACACATCTCTGCAAGATCCCCGTCATGGTCATCCCGCGTGAGCCGCTCTATACACAGCCCGGACTGTCACCGCCTGTCCTAAATCAGCAACTCCGGCTGCTACTGCGAGCTTCTCACGTGATCCCCCACCACCAAGAACTGGGCATGGTCTGTCAAAAAACGGCCCCAACGTCAGGACTGTGGACTGCGGCTCCTGCCAGTCCCGGAAACCAGCGATACCTCAAGGTTTTTTCCCACTCCTGATAGGTTGTCAAGAAATTAATAAACAAATGTTTTATGTTTGTATGGTCATCAAGGATGGAGAAATTGAAGAGAGAAAGAGATGAAAGAACAAATGGAGGAAAAAGGTGTGGTGATTATTGAGCAAATTGTGGTTGTGAAGTATATAAGTATGCGTGTGCGGGATTAGCAAGAAAGAGAATTTGGTGGGGTGCATGTTGAAATATGGAAGTGGAAGTGTGCCATTGTTTTATGTGAGGATTGAGAGGTGTATGAGGAGATATAAATTGAATGAGGTAATGAGAGAGGTGTGGTGTGAAAGCAAGACAGTGATGGGTGCATTAGAGGGAAGAGAGGGGTTGGAGATGGTACGTCGATTGAGTGAGATGCAGAGTAAGAAAGTATGGAAGAATGTATGTAAAGAAAAAGCAGAAGGATGTTGTGTGGATGGCTTTCCATAGGTGCTTGCCAACGAGAGAGGGTTTCAGAGGAGAAGGCTGGTAGATAATAAGGTATGTCCAAGGGAGGGGAGTAGGAGAAGGTAGAACATTACGTCTCGGTGTGTGAGTATGCAAAAGGTGTATGGAAGAGTTTAATGCAAATCGTGAAAGGGTTGACAGGATATGGTGTGAAATGATGATGTTTGGGTTGTGTAAGATTGGGAAGACTGAAGAAATGGTTTTGTGGATGTTGGTAAATTGCATGAAAGAATGTGTGACATTTGTAATAATTGGAGGAAGGAATCGAATCTGTATCCATGGTCTGTGGAAGGCCATATTTATATGCACATTGTGATTGTAAAAATTCTGAATCTGAGGAAGCACAAAAGATCTGGAAATGGAGTTGGAGGGAGTGGAGTAGACAATACTATGATTATTATTATTATTGTTGTTAGGTTTGAATGTGGGTGGAATATATAAGTTGTAGTAAGTGAAGGGAGGTTTTGTGGCATGACTTTATCCACCTGCCGAATGCTCACAGTAAAAATAATACTAGTGGCAGCAGGTGCAGGCACAACCATGTATATGTACATGATCAGCCTTCATGCTTTGATTGGACACAACACAATTTGGCAGCTGATTTTGGTTGAAATTAGATGACCAGCTGTGTTCAATCACACATAGATTTCTGTGTTTACAAAACAGCCATATAGTAAAGAAAAAGCAGCACATATCACACACATTACACATTGTTAGGCACGCAATTAATTCCTTGATTGCCCCTAGATGTAACTGTACAATATTAGTACTAATCACTGTATAAGTGTCACTTTTGATGTCAGTGTACCTGTCAGCAAGCGTCAGCTAGTGCCAGATTGCCCGCCCCCATAAGTCACTGACCACTGCCATTACCAGTATACTTTCATAGTTGCCTAAATTTCAGTATATATACCATAGTTTGTAGATGCACAAACCAATTAATATACACTTATTGGGATTGTTTTTACCAAAGACATGTAGCAGAATACATTTTGGCCTACATTTAAAGGAAATGTAATTTTTTAAATTGGATATGTTTTATAACAGAGTAGATTTTCTTATTTTTTAATTTTTTTTTATATAATAAAAATAAAAACCCAATGGTGATCAAATACTACCAAAAGAAAGCTCTATTTGTGTGGAAACAATGATATAAATTGAATTTGCGTACAGTGTTGCAATTGCCACTTAAACTAGTGCAGTGCTGAAGAGCAAAAAAAAGCTTTGGTCATGAAGAGGGTAAAACCTTCTAGAGGTCAAAGTTTTGGGTATTTTGTCTTTTTGAAATACGGTTTTGTGAGGTGAGAAATAAGGTCACATGTCAAGAGATTATGGTTGGGGGATCCTGTAACGATGGGTTTCTGCATATGTTTTAAAGTTCTCTTTGGAGGGAGGTGGGAGGAGTGTGGTATGGTTGATGATTATTTTACATACACTATATTGCCAAAAGTATTGGGACTCCTGCCTTTACATGCACATGAATTTTAATGGCGTCTTAGTTCGTAGGGCTCAATAATGAGTTGGCCCACCCTTTGCAGCTAGAACAGCTTCAACTCTTCTGGGAAGACTGTCCACAAGGTTTAGGAGTGTGTCTATGGGAATGTTTGACCATTCTTCCAAAAGCACATTTGTGAGGTCAGGCGCTGATGTCGAACGAGAAGGCCTGGCTCACAGTCTCCACTCTAATTCATCCAAAAGGTGTTCTATCAGGTTGAGGTCAGGACTCTGTGCAGGACAGTCAAGTTCCTCCACCCCAAACTCGCTCATCCATGTCTTTATGAACCTTGCTTTGTGCACTGGTGCGGAGTCATGTTGTTACAGGAAGGGGCCATCCCCAAACTGTTCCCACAAAGTTGGGAGCATGAAATTGTCCAAAATGACTTGGTATGCTGACGCCTTAAAGAGTTCCCTTCACTGAAATTAAGGGGCCAAGCCCAACCCCTGAAAAACAACCCCACACCATAATCCCCCCACCAAACTTTTACACTTGGAACAATGCAGTCAGGTAAGTACTGTTCTGGCAACCGCAGAATCCAGACATGTCCATCTCGATTGCCAGACAGAGAAGCATGATTTGTCGCTCCAGAGAACACGTCTCCACTGCTCTAGAGTCCATTGGTGGCATTCTTTACGCCACTGTATCTGGCACTTTGCATTGCATTTGGTGATGTAAAATCTTGGATGTAGCTGCTCGGTCATGGAAACCCATTCCATGAAGCTCTCTATGCACTGTTGTTGTGCTAATCTGAAGGCCACTTGAGGTTGGAGGTCTTTAGCTATTGACTCTGCAGACAACTGGTGACTTCTGCGCACTGTGCTCTTCAGCATGCACTGACCCCGCTCTGTCATTTTACGTGGCCTATCACTTTGTGGCTGAGTTGCTGTTTCCAGTTGCTTCCACTTTGTTATAATGCCACTAACAGTTGACCGTGGAATATTTAGTAGCAAGGAAATTTCACAGATAGACTTATTGCACAGGTGGCAACCTATCACGGTACCATGCTTGAATTCACTGAGCTCCTGAGAACAACCCATTCTTTCACAAATGTTTGTAGAAGCAGTCTGCATGCCTAGGTGCTTGATTTTATACACCTGTGGAATGCTTCAATCCAAAACCCTTCTGGTTTTTTATTGGAGCATTCTGGAAGAAAAAAAACCCACTAAACTTGCCTAAATGATGTACAAATACACTGTATATCACCGCTTTTTTTCTGCCAAGGGAACTGGTGTTTTTTTTTTTTTTTAAGCCCAGTGTGCATGCAGCCTTACTGAAAGCATACAGCACCCTGTCACTGAAAGCTGACTGTATTTGCTTTCAGTGCACAAAGTCTGAATACCCAACAAAGCAAAGTGCCCACAAGGGACATAAAAGCTGTTTCCAAATACGTCTGCTGTGTACCTATAGGATTTTAATGGGTCTTTTTAAAATATACAAATAAAAGTAGTTTGTTTTTTGTTTAAAATAATCACTGACACCGATAAACTTACTTAATAAGGTGCACAGGGCAGTAATCCATGACACTCCTACAATTCGTCTCACATTCAAACTGAAATGTGAGTTCCATTGTGCTGATCGTTTGTATAGTTGTATCTTATATTCTTAAATACTCAGGTAAATGCCAGTTTTAAAAATAGTATTAGTCTAGTCAAAACTAAAATATAAAGTTTCCATTGTAGCGGAGGCAGTTGGCTCTCAATTCCCAACAAGTAATGTGATCCACATGTACTGTATATGCTTGACTAACCCATTGCCATTTAATAACTGTTTGTATTTTGTACTGTATTGGCCTTTGATGGATATTTGCTGTAACCTCCACAAGAGGACCTGCCACTACGCACCCCTTTTTCTTACTTCTTGCATGTGTATTTAAGCTTAAAACATTTAACAAACTTTATTCTTAAAAAAACTAGAATATAATGTTAAATTCTTCAGGACTGGCATGAGAATAGAAATAATGCAAATCAATACAGTATAAATGGGAAACATTCATTAGGCTTTTTTAACCTCATTACAAAACATTGTCAGCTTATAAAAGGCACATTCTAAAAATGACAATAGTTAACAGGATTTTGTGGCTTAAACAATTGTGTACAAAGTTACTGTCTATAAAATAAAGCAACAATCCCTGACAGTAATTCCCTGAGAATTCATATAAAAGTATTTTTACGCTAAAGTGCTGACTTTAGTACAAATAGTAAACGTTTGTCATTTTCTCAAAACCTGTAGATTTTTTTTTTTGTGTTGCATAAAATGACAAGATCTCCCCTTTTTTCCCACTGTGTGTGAAAGCATGAATTATGTCAGGTTTATTTGTGTCTTAAATAGAGCTTTTTGGTTAACATGGAAGCAAAGCAAGGAACTTGTTTTTTCCCAATTGCACTGAGATCTAGGCAGGCTTCAACAGATCGCAGAGACACTTTCCTGTTCACCAGTGTTAGCAGTTCTGTGAATTCCAGCTCCTTGCCGTACATCCTCAGCACTTCACATAGATCCTGAATGTACCAAGACCCATTTATGGTTTCACGGTGAGAGTAGTAGCCTAAAAGGGATTCAGAAACAGGATGTCTATTAATGTATATTATAAACACAAATGTTTACGGCTTCCTCATCAGTATTCAGAATTCTTACAGTATGGTTTGGTTAAGAATGGAAAATATTACTGCTATCTATAAAAAGTTAGTTGCTATCATTTTTCTAGTGCAATTTAGGGACTCAGATGGCAGATTAGTGCCATCCTTTGTGTAGAGCCACTGCCAGATACATGTACATTCAAGTCAGAGCTACATGCAGACAGCTCATTGAAGTGAATGCACATGCAGTACCAGCATGGACACAATCACAAGTCCGACATGTGGGCAGGAGTGGGTGCATGGATCAGCAGCTCTGCATAGGAGGACAGCAGTAATCAGCCTTCTGAATGAACCCTAAAGGAGCAGCCAGGGGCGGACTGACCATTTGGAAACTTGGGCACTGCCCGAGGGCCTGGGGTCAGTAGGGGGCCCCATGAGATGCCCCTGGTACCTTTTTAATAGGGTTTTTTAAAGTTTGAGCAAGGACACAGGGGCCCCATGATCTCCTATTGCCTGGGGGCCTCATGAGTTGTCAGTCCGCCCCTGGGAGCAGCTGTCCAGGTAATATGTGGCACATTGCCAATTTTCCTTTTACGCAGGCTTTATATCTCAGCCCTGCAGCATTTCACATTTTTAAGGGCTCGTTCACAATGGAATGGGAGGGAGTGGTAAAAACAGGCAGTTGAAGCATGGTTTTACCAGCCTCTGACCACGCATCTAAACTAGGGCATGTAGCCACACAGGGCTCTTTATGTACTTTTGTTTCAGAGCAGAGCTGATAGTAACAAACTACATGCAGACTTTGATGGGAGGTTTTGGTAAGTTATGAAGTTAGAAGATTAAAAAAATAAAATTTGCTTGCAATTTATAATTGTAATAAAACCTGAACCATAGGGATCTTTAGCCAACTCTCCACAGCTTAAAGGATAAGTTCACCTTTGGGAACATGTTACATGTTCCACCCATTATTAGGATGGAACATGTAACATGTTCCCATAGCTGCAGCTGATGCCTCTCTTACCTTAACCCCCCCCCCCCTGACAGTACGGGGAGACTCTCCCCATATTATCTGTCAAATTTGAAAACAGCACGGCCGTGCAGGGCTCCGCCCACACAAACACATCATTTATTCACGGACTTCCGTAAATGAATGAACTGCAAGTCCCGACAGCCTTAGTGGCTGTCAGCTTGTAGTTTCCAATGAACTACCATGGCACTATGGAGTGTCGTAGTTCACTGAAGCTTCCTATCAGAATATCTGCTTGACCGTACATCCCGTACGGCAAGCAGACATTCTGACAGGTCTGCAGGAGACCTGCATGGCATCAGTGATCTACTACGCACAGGTGCAATGCTTTCCAGGCTCCTGTGGACAAAAATAATAAATGCACATTTTTTTTACCTGCAAAAAAAATGTGCATTTATTATTTTTGTCTAAAAGGTGAACTTATCCTTTAAGTCTTTAGGTTCTTACTAAAACCAGTAATAATCAAATTCAGAGACAATTATTTATTATGAAAAAAGAGTAGATACATGTATATTAGTCTTACAGATACAACCGCCCCTCTGAGGGCAGCCATAATGCTTATGCGGCCCTCCTTTATATTATATATAATATTTACAATATAATAATTAACTGTTGTGGGAAGACATAGAACCAGGGTCTGAGGTGGTTAAAAACATTTGCACTTTAAAATAATTTAAAGTGCATAAACAACTAAAACGTTTTTTCCCATTTCTGACAGAGTGGGAAAGGGTTAAAAGCTCTGTTGGGTTTTCCTGTTATTTTGGACTTCCACTACAGAGATTTCCTCTTTCTTCAGAAATAGAAATGCTTTTTAGCACAGTAAGGTAAGGACAGAATCTCTGTCAGCTATTTATTGCTGTCTGTGCCCCTGTTCCAGATTTTTACTCTTTTCCAGTCTGATGAAAACATTGTCAGTGGAACAGAAAGGCAGGAAAAATCTTTCAAATGGAGTTCCTTATAGCAGTAAAACCTTCCTCTTACTATCCAAAAAACTGGAAAAAACAAAAGTTTTGGCAGAACATACTGTATACTTTGAGTAGGTGGTTCTTACAATAGTAAAAGGTAACAAGGTAGTCTATGGCTCAAAACAAAACCTCCATTTAGATATACTGTAAAAGACAGCAAGTAGGGTAACTACTTGAATGTGGTTTTAGTATTTTGCAATCAAAACAGAGCAGGGATCAGACTGGGGGAGGGAAAAGCAGCACAAAGCTCCAATCAGTGTACATGTGCTAACTAGGGACACGCTGATAGGAGGAGACAGCAGTGTGACAAGAGATATGCTTATAAGTCATATGCATTTCCCTTACTTCCTAATCACAGGCTGGAGTAGAAAAAACAAGTAACCCTAGGTTCACACCTAAGTGTTTGCCGCAGCATTTTGCAGAAAGGCAGTACAGTCCATTTAACATGATTTTCACATCTCCGCCTGTAACGGAACCGGACCCAACTGCGCTTGGGTATTTCCATTAGACTCCCGCTTCCCCGTCCGAACAACGACCACAGACACCACACCTGACCAAACAAGACTAGACGACACCAGTCTTGAAGTAAAATCAGGAAATAGACTACTTATTTTAACACAGATACAAGATATATACATTCAAGGGAACAACCCCCCCCCCCCCCCCCCGCATAATGACACAGTGCGGGGCAATCTACATTTAGGAACGAGAGAGACACCAACAGACAGTCCCATCAGGAGGGAGGGCTGCTGGAAACACCCCCCACCAAGCCAATACACACATACATCCCATAATAGTTTGCTCCAAAGCAAGACACACAACGGAACAATGGGATACAACCACATGGCACTAAACAATCCAGAAACCCCACCTATCTCCTAGGCATGTCTACACAATATGAGAACAGATCACCCTATACCCTTAACAGGCACAGGGTGACTTACACATAAGAAGGATATGGGGAGCTGAATCAGGGGTCTCCCCACCTCTCCAAAGTGAGCTGGGTTCCATGGGCCTCCCACCCAAAGTGACACCGTCACACCGTGTTTTTACCCAGTGCGGTTTTTTGAAAATGTCATGGACTTTTCTGAACGCAAAAAGTTGCGTTTTTGGTTCTATAGACTTCAATGGAAATGCATGTAGTGCATTTTTGCCGCGTTTTTGATGAGTTTTACATTTTAAATCTGTCTAGCAACAAGAAAAATAAAAAAAAGAACCCCCTCTCCCGCAAAACGCATAAAAATGCAACACAAAATGCAATGCAGAAATGGCTCAAATGCAACCAGCATAGGTGGGAACCTAGCCTAAGTGGTACTGAAAAAAAATCAGGTCTAGTAGTCTGCCTGACAAGGCTGTGCTGTGTAAATTTCAGGACTGGATGGACAGGAATATAAATCCTTTGCCAACTATTACAACTATAAATCATACAGTATTACAGCTGTGTACTTAACTGTTTGCCTGAAGTTCACCTTTGAAATTGCTGCTCTTAGATAAAGGTCAGCTTAGAGGAAGTGAACTCTTGGTCTCCACAGATTTTGATATGGCATATTTTTGATATAATGGAAAAAAATTATTTTTTAAAAATTAATACCTTCTGCAACAGAATAGCACATGATGAAATCGGCACCAGCAGGCAGAGTGTACACGGAAGCTGCATCTACTTCAACTGTATTAACCTCCGGCTGGTCCACAGCACTGTCAGTAGCGTCTGTAACACGGACTGGCTCATCATGTTGAGTGCCCCGACATGCCTATACAACACAGAGAAAGTTCTAGATTAAAAACTGAAATAAAAACAAGATGCATACAAAAAGATGAACACCCAAGAGCAGTGTTTCCTAAACTATGGGTTGGGACCCAAACTAGAGCATGGACGTGTTTGTGATGGGTTGCCAAGACTGTGTAGTACACATTGCCTAGTTTGTCAGTATATGCACAAAGGGTTGACCAAATTATCCAGGTGCTGGTTTCAGGGTTTTTTTGCCTTCTCTACAAGCCTACCAGACATGGTTGGTCTGGTTAAAAACTTTAGACTCCCTGCAGTGCTGTAAAACACCCATAGTATACACTGGCAGTATGATACTGGAGATCAATTAAGGATATCAAATAAAAGAGGTATTAACGGAATAAAAGAGGTAATGATGGATATACAGTCAGATGTGCTCAGATCCTTAGGCAGAGCCACAGAGTTAAATGAAAGTAAATGCCTCGATTTCCCTATCCACAGATTCGATGTGAATGGGGGAATCCCTCCCACAGTGGTATTGTATGCTTACAGCAGGGAGCCTTCCCCACCATCAGAATACAATGGTCAGTAGTGGAGGCTATAGTCGGCAGCACTGATTGTTCAGGAAAACCCCACAGGCTGGTTGTACACAAGTCAGTTGATAGATCAACTTGTGTACAACCAGCCTGCCCATGCATGGACCGAAATTTGGACTGGTTCCTGCTGAACCAGCCGAAAGTTGATCCATGTATGGCCGGATTTAAAGCTGAACTCCACCTTAAATAGGAAGTTCCACTCATCTTTCTACCCTTACCCCCCTCCCTCTGCCATCATTGGGAATTTTGGAGGGGGAGAGCAGGTACCTAAAGTATTTGTGACAGGTGCCCACTACCCACTTTCTTAAAAATTACACAATTTCTGCTTTAAATCTCAAAACTAGGGATGGGTTTGATGTTCGAGTTGAACATTGGCCATTCGTATGTTTGCCCTGGCTCTCACAGTGCATTGTGAGAGCCATGATTGGTGACCAACATCACCACTAGCTCCACCCAATTGTTTACATCTGACCAACTGTCAGACATGTCATATTGTTGCGAATGTGGACAGGTCAGCGGGTGTTTTTTTTTAAATTTCAGTGAATCCGTATTGTCAGGACAACACCATGACTGATGATGGATTACAGCAATGGAACCACTTTTTTTGGCTTTTTTTTTTTAAAGTACTTGTCAAAAATGGTTGTTGTTTTGTTGTTCAATTAAAGGAATTTTTCAAAAGCCTGGTGAATTTATTTTTTCTAAATAAAACCCTTTTGTGAAAGGGTAGGAGAACAAGTACCCCTTACTCATTCACAAGGGGGCAGCATCAGGGTGCCCACTTATTTAAAGGGGTGCTATGATGCTAATGAGCCCCTGCCTGCAGACCCGCACAACTACCGGACCAGGGTTGTGGGGAAGAGGCCCTTGTCCCCATTGTTATGGGGGACACTGGCCCAATGCCGAGGGCACGTGGCTTGGTAAGCTGCAGGGAGGGAGGGGGCCACCTGAACGCCCCCCCCCCCTTTCCTGCCCTGCTATGCCTGTGCTCGGATCAAGGGTCTTGTAGGAATTTTGAAGGGGACCCCAAGCTTTTTGGAGGTGGGGTTCCCCTTAAAAGTCCTACCAGGCCTTACTTTTAAGGGGAACCCCATGCACTTTTTTCTTTGCTTTTTTTACTGTGGGGTCCCTCCTAACGTTCCTACTCGACCTAAAGGGTCTGGTATGGATTGTGGGGGGGACCCCCATGCTCTTTTTTTTTTTTTAATAAAAATGTAATAAAAAAAAAGTTCTGCTATACATTGTACAGATGTGCAACTTTGCAGATAGTTTAAGGAACCCCCCAGGCATGATATTTAAAGAAATGTTTCATTTTTTTTAGCTTTAACCACATTTCCTCCAGAGGATTTACCCCTCTCCTGACCAGGCCTTTTTTGCAATACGGCGCTGCATTACTTTAACTGACAATTGCGCAGTCATGCAACGCTACACCCAAATGAAATGTATGACTTTTTTTCGGTGGTATTTCATCGCCTCTGCGTTTTTTTTATTTTTTGCACTATAAACAAAAAAGACTGACAATTTGGAAAAAAAAAAAACCCAATATTTTTGACTTTTTGCTATAAAACATATCCAGTAAAAAAAATTTTAAAAATCAGATTTTATCATAAATTTAGACCAAAATATATTCTGCTACATGTCTTTGCTAAAACAAATCCCAATACGGGTAAATTAATTGGTTTACATGAAAGTTATAGCGTCTACACATGGCGGTATATATACTGGAATTTAAAAAGAAATGTTTTTTATACTAGTAATGGCGGCGATCAACGACTTATTGCGGGACTGTGGCGGGCATTCTGACACTGTGGGTGGAACTAACTGCCACTGACATCCCAATGACACTAATACTGCTGTGCAGAGCAATACAAAGCAGCCTGTTCGTGCTAACAGGGGAGATATGTGTGTTGTTTACAAGCAGACCTCTCCCCTTTCACTGTTCCTGTTTCACTGTAAACAACACAGATCTCTCCCCTGTCAGCACGAACAGGCTGCTTTGTATTGCTCTGCACAACAGAGCAATACAAAGCAGCTTGTCTTCCTAGTAAAACACACACAACACATAATGTAAAATACAACACAACACACAGTTACCCTTTGATCGCCCCAAATGTTAACCCCTTCCTGCCCAGTGTCATTAGTACAGTGTCAGTGATTTTCATTAGCACTGATCACTGTATTAGTGTCATTGGGATGTCAGTGGCAGTTAGTTCCACCCGCAGTGTCAGAATGCCTGCCACAGTCCCACAATAAGTCGCTGATCGCCGCAATTACTAGTATAAAGAAATTTTTTTTAAATTCCAGCATATATACCACCATTTGTAGACGCTATAACTTTCATGTAAACCAATTAATTTACATGTATTGGGATTTTTTTTCACTGGATATGTTTGTTGCATGATTTTGCAAATGTACAGTATGGGAAGCCACACTACCGCGCTAAGACCCCATTGTTTAAGTATACATTATACATACTTTTATAAGTTTGACACTACAGCAGTGAGAATTGCAAATTATAAACTTCACCTTACAGTTACCTGAAATATGAAAATTTTAGGCTTTCCCGCTAAACTTGGGCACTTGTCACCCTTGAAAGGGCTTGTCAATTCCTTAATTTCAATTGCACAGTCATGGGCATATATATGACCATTTTCTCCATGGCTCAGAAAGACACAAAGGAAGCAGTCAGCATCACTGTGGTCACTTGCTGCAGCTAAAACGAAACAATTAGACAATTATTTTAATTAATAATTACTTCCATTATTATGTTAAAGTGATACTAAACCCAGGACTCTGCATTCACTATATCTGGTCTCCTACAGTACACAGAACATCGAAATGCAATTACTTTAGTAAATATAAACTGCTAAATACCTTTTCTGATCAGCGGTTTTTGTGAGTTCAGCAGAGCACTGGTTAAAGCTTGTAGGAGTTTTCTTTCTGTTCTAGGAGGATGTGAAACCTCTGACCCTCTGTCTGGATAGTGCTGATTGGCCCTGTGCTGATCACATGCACCCTCCCAAGATAAAAAAAAAAAACCCTCTCTAGCAATACACACCAAACTGAGCATGTGTATGTGACTACGGATTCAGTCTGTATCAGGTGGTCATTTCAACAAGAGGAGGGGCAGAGAAGGAAGGATCTAACAGCCTTTTTTTACACAATGCAGAGGATTAACCCCTTAGGTTCCACAGTGAGTATTACAAGCATGCTTTACTGCATATACAGACTGATTTTACTGTTGTGGGTTTAGTAACACTTTAACACATAGACAAAAGGACAATGCAAACAGTTTTAATATATGAGCAATATACCCAATATTTACCAATGTTGGACTATTAGTTTTAGCCAATTTTAAGACCAAAATGTCCTATCTTTAACCTCTACTGTTAAAGGATCAGTTCACCTTTGGGAACATGTCACGTTTCACCCATTTTTAGGGTGGAACATGTAACATGTTCCCATAGCCGCAGCTACCTGTCTGCTGCCCTGCCCTCCCATAGCCGCAGCTGCCTGTCTGTTGCCCTGCCCTCCCTCTGACAGATAGTACAGGGAGAGTTCTCCCTGTACTATCTGTCAAATTTGAAAACAGCGAGGCCGTGCAGGCCTCCGCCCACATGGACGCATCATTCATTCATGGCCTTCCATGAATGAATGAACTGCAAGTTCCTACAGCCTTAGTGGCTGTGGGCTTGTAGTTTTCAATGAACTACCACGGCACTGTGGAGAGTTGTGGTAGTTCATTGAAGCTTCCTGTCAGTATATCTGCTTGATTGTATATTCTGTACGGCAAGCAGATATTCTGATAGGTCTGCAGGAGACTTGCATGGCATCAGCAATCTACTGATCGCTGGTGCAATGCTTTCCAGGGTCCTGTGGAAAAAATAATAACTGCACATTATTTTACCTGCAAAAAAAATGTGCATTTATTATTTTTGACTAAAAGGTGAACTTATCTTTTAAGCAAGGACACTATATAAAATCTGTTATAGGTATTTATTTTGATCATGAAGATTTTTAAGCTAGGTTGACTCACCTTCTTGGATACGTTGATGGACCTCGGCTGAATAGCAATTGTAGTAATGCTTTACATCAAACCCGAGCTGAGTTAAGCTGAATAAACAAGTTAGCCAGTTAATACATTGAACTCAATGGACGTGTATTTTTTCAACCTAACATGTAACTATATGCAGCTTTGTGGCTTTTTTTTTTTGGTTCTTTAACTCCTTGATGCCAGCGCCTCCTGGCCCTTTAAGGGGTTTGTGACGCTGTGGGGCTGGGCAGGGATAAGGGTCATGTGACCGCCTTGATTGGCTGGCATGACGGTCGCATGAATGGAAAGCTCCTGACCGCCAGTAGCAATCAGAACCTTTCCATAAGGTGCCGGTAAATGTGCTGGATGCACACTCTTGGCACATCTTTTGTTTACATTGGGTACGTAAATATGTGGCCCCTCAGCGCCAAGGGGGTTAGAGGTATGGACTTTATTTTAGTACTATACAGTATACTGTACTTACTGCATGGGATTGGATTATAAAACATTATAATTACATTTTTAGTAAAGCTTGCATTCTTAAAATTTGGTTTCACAAGCCTTAGCAAGAATTGCCATTACTAGTCTGCATGTGTTTTATGAGTTTTTATGTACAATCAAATTAACAACTTTGTAAGACTGGATACTCTATTTCAATTTTGCATGGCAAGCCTCTAGTTTTGCTAACAAGATGCATCCCACACTTGTTTCTGATATTTCAGATGCCTGTCTTACACAAAGACAATTTTCTTTTACAAAGAGTTTACTAGGAGTTATGTTACATAGTGATTTAAAGTGGTACTGAAGGTAATTTTTTTTAAAAATTAAAAAAGATGTTACTTACCTGAGCAGTTTCTCTTTGGTGGTTCCCCACCAGCACGTCTGCTCTTTCTTCCTCCAAGTGCCCCTTTAGCAAGCTGGATGCTAAGGGGGCACCCGTGCCATCAAGCTCCCAAGTCAGGCTGTGTGCGTCCATAGACACACACAGTTCTGGCAATCCTTGTCCAAGCTACCGCCTCTTCCTGTGAATCCAGGAAAAAAAAGAGAGTGGTGCTGCAGTCAGGACAGCGCTGGATCGTTGAGAGGAGTCAGGTAAGTGTTTAGGGGTGGGGGAGGGGGACAGATATGGGTTTTTTTATATCTTAATGCAGGGAATGCAATAAAGCGGTAGTAAACTGCATCCAAAAGAAAAATCCCTGCAAGGTAAAGGCATAAAGTGCTAGTTTGCATCACATACTAGCACATTATGTAAAACGTACCTTAAAACGAAGTCCTCCAGTGGCGAGCTGTCACCGTAGAGGCTTCCATCTTCACCTGGTCTTCCTTACGGGTTTGCGAGCTCCAGTCATCTGACTGGCTGAGCCGTGATGACATCACTCCCGCGCGCATTGCGAGTCTCGGGACATGGCACAGTGCTCTGAAGGAATGGCACGGCTATGCTACGGCTATAAGAACCCAAATAGCTCCTAAACGGTGCACATTTAGGTGATATTTATTTTACCTACAAGTAAGCTTTATTATAAGGTTACCTGTAGGTAAAAAAATTACAAAGTGGCTTTACTACTACTTTAAGGTTAAAAATCATTTAGACATTAGAACCACTTTAACCAACTAGTTAATCAACATCATGTTGGGAAGAGTAGACCTTTAACGTTATTTTTTGTAAAAAAAATTCAGATCTGTGGTACATAGTAGTGGTAGTAGTAGTGACAAATGAAAAAAAAATAGTGCAGGAAGTTACAATTTGGGAGGATGCTAGGGTCCTAATCTGTCGGCACCTGCATAAGAAGGTGGGATAACCACTGGTACACTCCAGAGGTGTGCAATATACAATGAAGGGGGTGTACCTCCATCTTTTGGCACAAGAACTTGCCTGGGAATTGGGTTTATTTAAACAGATTGTGTATTACTATGGAAATGTTTTAAGTTCAGCATCTCAGTGAATGTGTATGTGTCTGTGAAAAGCATACTTCTGAGAAAATAATGGACATAAGTAATGCATGGTATACCATCTTTCTGAAGAGATGACATATATAGGTCATTAGTTCCTGCACAAATGCAAAAAAAAAACAAAAAGGGTTTATAACTCCTTCCAGGATAGTGCAGAGACACTTTTTTACACCTCTGAGCAAACTATGCATCCTAGCTGCATCCACGTTAAGTTTTCAGAAGGTGAAATCTGACTGTTAATACATTAGGACAGCTGGACCCTGTATATTGAAACTTATTCCTGTTTCTACTCTTACCTTCTCTCGAGGTTAATTCGATCAGCTGTGGTACCTCTTCTTTCGGGAAGTCTTAACTGATAGTTAAACCATTCATGGTTGAAGATTAAAGCCAATCCACGGCGTCCATATTTCATTTTATATTCTGCGGTTGGATCAAGTGCTTGGGACCTTACAAAATAATCAAAAGCAAATTGAAAATTTGGCTGAATAAATATGTAATTCTATGTGTGTTTATCAAGATGCTTTTTTATATCCATGGGTTTGATAAAGTATCTTACAGACAAAATTAAATATTAACTGTTATGTTGTTTTCCAGCCGTAATGCCTAGTAATGCATTTTTTTGTGTTAAAGTCAAACCTAGACTCTTAGTTGTTTTGTGACAAAAAAAAAATTTTATTTAGAAGAACAGGGCCTTACAATTTCAACATTTGTGTTACAAAAAAAAAAAAAAAAAAGAAAGAACAGTAATTACAAACCTAGACAGAACCCAAAAAGCTAAGTGCATTACAATATTTAGCAACTTCCAATACACAGTATGCCTAGCAATAGGGCTGTGACAACTGTGCTGCTACAAAGTACAACCTCACACACAATTGTGGTTACAGAATGCAAAACCCTTGCATCTATGGTGTTGCTTACTAGCTTCAGGTAGCTGGGAACACTGAGGGCTGGACTGTGCATGGCTGGCATATTGCTTTACACTAAATGCTGCTTAATTTTTGCTGCCGTGCGGTAGGTGTCACTCAGTGCGGTGCGCACCCCCCGCACCTGCCTAGAGACGCCACTGTATGGGGCAAAGGTGCGGGTGCGTAATTTGAGTTGAGATGTGTGCGTCCATACTGTAGACAACACAGCGCAACTAGGCCCTGCTTCCTTCTCACAGGATTTGACTTTGGCTCCCACAGCTCTCAATCTGTCCTGTGAGAAGACGAACCGAAACCAGTGCTGCTGCAGATGGGCACTGAGCTGGATCGAGAAAGGGCTCAGGTAAGTACTAAATTTAGGGGGAGGGGGAAGAAACAGGCAGTGGGTCATTTTTTACCTTAATGCATTGAATGCATTAAGGAATAACATGATTTGGCTTTATAACCACTTTAAAGCTGGATACGTATATGGCTCTATGTGTGCACTTATAGGATGGAGGAAACATTTGCTTAGTCTCTAGGGTCTGGAAAGTGTGTATGAGTCGTAGCTTCTCCGTTATTGGCTATCACTTTACAACCTAATAAATCCAACTTAGTATATCAGCTTTGAATTCATAAGGGGTTGATGCCATTGAAAGTGGAACAACTGACAGTCATCTGCAATTGTGTATATTACTAAAGTTTAAATGAAGATACAATTGAACTTCTCTCTGCTCGTATTTGAGTGCAACTAGTGCATACACTATATTGCCAAATGTACTGCCTTTACATGTACATGAACTTTAATGGCATTCCAGTCTTAGTCTGTAGGGTTCAATATTGAGTTGGCCCACCCTTTTCAGCTATAAGAGCTTCAACTCTTCTGGGAAGGCTGTCCACAAGGTTTAGAAGTGTGTCTATGGGAATGTTTCACCATTCTTCCAGAAGCGCATTTGTGAGGTCAGGCACTGATGTCCGACGAGAAGGCCTGGCTCCAGTCTCTGCTCTAATTCATCCAAAGGTGTTCTATCGGGTGCAGGCCAGTCAAGTTCCTCCACCCCAAACTTGCGCATCCAGGTCTTTATGAACCTTGCTTTGTGCACGGGTGCATGGTCATGATGGAACAGGAAGGGGCCATCCCCAAACTGTTCCCACAAAGTTGGGAGCATGAAATTGTCCAAAATGTCTTGGTATGCCAACGTCTTAAGTGTTCCTTTCACGGGAACTAAGGGGCCAATCCCAACCCCTGGTAAACAACCCCACAACATAATCCTCCATCCATCAAACTTTACACTTTACACAATGCAGTCAGGCAAGTATCGTTCTCTTGGCAACCGCCAAAACCCAGGTATGTTCATCGAATTGCCAGACAGAGAAGTGTGATTCGTCACTCCAGAGAACACATCTCCACTGCTCTAAAGTCCAGTGGTGTTGTGCTTTACACCACTGCATCCGACGTTTTGCATTGCACTTGGTGATGTAAGGTTTGGATGCAGCTCCTCGGCCGTGGAAACTCATTCCTTGAAGCTCTCTGCACACTGTTGTTGTGCTAATCTGAAGGCCACATGAAGTTTGGAGGTCTCTTTAGCTATTGACTGTGCAGACAGTTGGCGACTTCTGCGCACTGTATGCTTCAGCATGCGCTGACCCCGCTCTGTCATTTTACATGGCCTACCACTTTATGGCTGAGTTGCTGTTGTTCCCAGTTGCTTCCACTTTGTTATAATACCACTAACAGTTGACCGTGGAATATTTAGTAACAAGGAAATGTCACGAATGGACTTATTGCACAGGTGACAACCTAAGTACCACACTTGAATTCACTGAGCTCCTGAGAGCGATCCATTCTTTCATAAATGTTTGTAGAAGCACTCTGCATGCCTATGTGCTTGATTTTATACACCTGTGGCCATGGAGGTGATTGGAACACCTGAATCCAATGATTTGGAGGGGGTCCCAATACTTTTGGCAATATAGTGTATGTTTCTGCGTACATAATATTGTTCTTACAAGGGTTGCTTATATTATAAGCAGTCCCCAGTCTTTTCTGACTCTGAATTTTAGTGTAGGATTTTTTGATGGGTGTAAGGGAAGGGTATGTTTTTTTCTCTGATCATTGATGGAATAATTTATTTATTCATTAAAATTCATCTGTTCTTATGCTGACAATTTTGAAGTGGTGTCCACATTCACCAATTCTTTTTTGACATCCAATCAAAAGGGAGTTTGAATATACAGTTGTGCTCAAAGGTTTGCATACTCTGGCAGAAATCGTGAAAGTTTGACATTGATATTGAAAATATGACTGATCATGCCAAAAAACTGTCTTTTGTTTAGGGTAATGATCACATGAGGCCATTTATTATCACATAGTTGTTTGGCTACTTTTTAAATCTTAATAACAGAAATCACCCAAATGGCCCTGATCAAAAGTTTACAGCTGAAAAGAACTGTCAAAAGACCTGTGTAACAAGCTAATGGAACTTTATAAAGATAGAAAAGGATATAAAAAGATATCCAAAGCCTTGAATATGTCAGTCAGTACTGTTCAATCACCTATTAAGAAGTGGAAAATTTGGGGACCTCTTGATACCAAGCCAAGGTCAGGTAGACCAAAAAAGATTGCAGCCACAACTACTAGAAGAATTGTTCCGGATATAAAATAAAATCCACAGGTAACCTCAAAAGAAATACAGGCTTTTTGGCATGATCAATCATATTTTCAATATCAGTGCCAACATTTCACAATTTCTGGCAGGGTATGCAAATATTTGAGCACAACTGTACATAGGATAATTATCTTTGGTTCAAGAGAACTGTGAAGGATTAATGCATTAATAAAATATCACACACATCTTGCCAGTATCAGACCATTTTTGGGCATCTCCATAAGATGTGAAAAAGATCCCTCTTTAAACTTAAGCTGGCCAAAGACCGTTAGATTTTCTCTTGCACAGATTCCTCCATCCACACAATCAAGGTGCATGGAGGAATCCCCACGCCAGGACATTGTAATCGACAGAGGACCCTTCACTGTCAGAATACAGTGATCAAGGATTGGCTGCAGCCACTGATGGCCAAAATTTTCCAGCATGTCCCTCCAACAAACGTCCATCAAAAGTTTGACTTCTGTTGGGCTGGGATGGCCACACATTGATCGAAACTCTCCTGAAACCCTGCTGAAGTGTCTGAATTTCGATCAGTGTATTGCCAGCTTTAGAGCGCAGGGGCAATAGATTAAGTGACAGACCACCTTTAAAAAGAAAACAAACAATAAGCATCCATGAACTAAATATCCTTATTTACCAAATGTTCACTTACCGTGACAAACACGCATCTGTCTCTGTGAAATTTCCATCTGTCATAATGAAATAAAAAGGTGTTTAAACAATGGTTATTTAATCATTAGGTTGCATTTTAGCAGACACACTATAAGCAAACCAGCCTTTAGCCCCTTTACTGCTGTGGTCCTGATCACATTTCTACCCCAGCTGACATACTTTTCATGTGTTTCACATGGACCAATGCAAAAAAAAAAAAAGAAGAGTACATATTTCAAAATTCACTGAATTTACTTATTAGCTTTCTAAGCACACAGATCTTACATACTAGATAGTATCCATGAATTTTCACATTTCATGTTATTCTTATAACTATTTGCAGAAACAGAGGCTAAGATGGCAGCTTTCTTAGCTGTAAAGAATAGGAGGGTTTAATTCCTCCTTAATAATTAAATAAAACATTACACGCAGCGACATCTACAAAAGTCCTGCTAATGCTTAATACACACGATGAGAAAATCAGATAAAAGAAGAAAAACACTTTCAGAGTGATCATCCGATAATATGATTGTTAGTACACAGCTTTCGAGAAGCGACCACAAAAGTTCATGCGAAAATATATGAAGGGACAAGCACAAAAATCTTTCTGGTGAGATAACAGAACGAACAATTTTCGTGTAATTAGTTGTAGTATTTGTCTGAAACCAAAAAATTGAATGACCAAGAACGTGCATACATTACATCACTTCTAAAGTGTTCTGTCGTGTCGTACGAGAATTTTGTAACTTTAATAAACTATTAATTTTTTATATGAGACTAGTATGCAAAAATAAATAATAAATAAAAATGGACGATCATTCATCCTGATATTCTCATCGTGAGTACTAGGCATAAGGGTACACACCTTCCAGAGTTCTTATTGATGTCTCTAAAGCTGGGCATACATGGCTGGCAATTTGGCCAGTTCAGCAGGGACAGGCCAAATTTCGATCCATGTATGGCCACTGTGATATTAACAGAAGTCGATCTAACAGTGAGCTTATGTTCAACCACCCTGTTGGAAAAAAGCCACTGCATCAGCACAGCAGGCTATAGACTGCAGCGCTGATCTGTCTATTTTGACAGTTGGGGAGTCTCCCCCTTGTCAGAATACAATGACACAGTGGGGAGGATTCCACCATCCTTCTTGAATGTGTGGATGGAGGACTGGGGATAGTTTTTTTTGGATCAACCCTCTGACATGAAAAATGTGTACTTTCCTTAGTTCAAAGTGAGGAGTGTCATCTCTCCCTGCTGTCTAGTTCTCCTGCTGTCTATATGACTCACTGCTGAAAGGTTTTGCCTACTCCTTGGCGGGGTGGCGGGGAGCTCCAGCACACAGCCTGTGTAGTGAGTAAGTGACATCAGATCCCCATCCCCTGCCTTTTGGAAGCTCAGAAAAGCTGTGTGAATTCTGGTCTTTGAAATGATGTAGATGACAGAAACTGCAGATAAACAGGTACAACTTATGTAGGAGGATTTGTTTCATTTCTATGTATAACCTGGGGCTTGCCACTTCACTGGGTATATGTGGGGGTTTACAACCACTTTAAAAGAATTCACCCAATGCTGAAAAGCTTATGGACTGTGTCAACATAGTGGGGCACCCAAACACTTTCAGCCATTCATGGGCATGTCAGGCTGCTATTGCCTGGTGTGCTATGCTGGGACCTCATGAGAGATGGAATCAATTTTCTTTTTTATTGGGGTGCTTAAGGGACATGGAGTAGGTAACTACAGGATGCCTAAGGTCCCTTAAAAAACGAAAGTTCACTTTATATAGCCATTTGTTAAAGGAGACCTACTGCGAGGGAAGCAAGGAAGTTGAGGTCTCTTCCTCTGAAAATGCTAACTTTCTCACTTCCAAGTGGCCAACTTGCTTAATAGTTTGACACACTAGTTGTAAAAGTGTTCATATACAGTTGCAAGAAAAAGTATGTGAAGCCCTTGGGATTACGTGGAGTTTTGCATGAATTGGGCATAAAATGTGCTCTGAACGTCATCTAAGTCACAACAATAGAAGAACACAGTCTGCTGAACATAATACTACACAAACATTAGATGTTGCCATGGTTTAATTGCACATAACATGTAAACATTCACAGTGCAGGGAGGAAAAAGTATGTGAAGCCCTAGCTTAATGACTTCTCCCAGAGCTAATTGGAGCCAGGAGTGAGCCAACCTTAGATGACTTAGATGACGTTCAGAGCACATTTTATGCCCAATTCATGCAAAACTCCACGTAATCCCAAGGGGTTCACATACTTTTTCTTGCACCTGTAGCTCACCTTCCTGATCTGCTTTCTTGTTTGACTCAAAAGTTGTGAAGCCTGTTGGTTAGAATGACAGACAGCCAGGCAAGTAGCATATTCAGAAGGTGGACAACAATGCCAACTCTCCTATTATTTTTTTCACCTATACATGAAAGTCAAAGAACTATAGTCAAAAACCTTTCGTTGTTAAGGGTCATACTCTACTGTAGTTCTTGTCACGTTCTATTGCTGAGCCTGTTTAAATGATTTATACTCACGACTTCTTGTGCCACTTGGTACATGAAAGGAAAATCTCTCCATCAAGAATACAGCATTTTAACAAATGTGAAAAGTTTCTAATCGTGGCATAGCAAATTCAAACTTTGAAAAAAATGTCTGTTTTGTGATAATATAAAATCAAACCAGTTGTAAAACAATTATAAAACTAGTAAGATTCCAGCTTTCATTTTTCAGTCCCAGGATAAAATAGAAACCATTTTTCATGGTTTACTTCAGTTTTAAAAATCAGCCATTTTTTTCGTTTCTCACCAGTTTTACTGTATAAACAAGTTCTGCCATGTATACATTTTTTGCATGTGCGAAGCAATTTCTTGTTTATTTCTGAAAAAGCAATCCAATAGTGTCACAGTTGTATGATAAAGAATTTGAGAGCAAGTCACTTTACAACTCAGTTCCAGAAACACTTTTTTTTCTTAATTTACTGTTTTTGAAACTTTTTAATAACTGCTGACTCACATTTAGAGATAGTTCACACAATGCCTGCATCAGAATTCACATGCGGCTCTGTGCGGTGCGATTTCAAGCCCATGCATTTTGAATGGGCTAAAATCGCACTGCACCAAAAGTAGTGCATGCACTACTTTTTAAAACACACTGTAACCAGATCGCATGGTACAAAAGTACCTGGTGCGGGCAGGTGTGGGCAAACGCATTGCATTTGCGACCAGCGTTTGGGGAGGTGTGAACCTTTTATTGACACCCGCCGCAGATCGCAAAAGCAGTGTGTTTCAATCAGTTTGAATTGCTCATGAATGCACAGAACGTTCCGGTGCAATTCTGATGCGAGCAGAGTGTGAACGGGCACTGATGCGATTTGGGATGTGTAGCGAATTCTGTGCATTTCCTGCACTGCATCAGAATCGCACTCCGTTCATGTGGACTGCTGCAGGTGTCTAAGTTAATGACACTCCAAAAAGGTTTGCAGAACTCGATTGGGTGAGTTGGATCACATGAGTGTTTACAACCCATGCAATTGGATTACAGTGCGGAAAAAAAAATGTGCATACCTTTCCTGTTGGTGCGGATTGATTTAAGCCATAAAACAATGAATGGCTTAAATCACACTGCAAAGAATCACATGTGATTTGAATAGGCATGCGGTGCGATTCCTCATATCATTTCCCGCACTGCAATAGTGTGAACTGACACTTAATCCATATTGTATTTAAATAAAAGTTTCCATGCTCCACTGAGTGGTGTTGGAAAGTATAGGCAACCAGGCTTCCAGCTCTCCACGGCATCAGAACAGTGACTATGATTGACGTCATTTCTTGTGTTGTGCCTCCAACTACTCCCTCTGAGATTAAAAGATTTTTAAAAACTGTAAAAAAAAAAAAAAAAAAAAATACTGTGCCTGGATTTGGGCTTTAAGTAAATCACCGTTCATTCAGACCACTCTGAAATGTGGTTCTGTTACAGTGTTACTAAACCCACAACAGTAAAATCAGTCTCTATATGCAGTAAGGCATGCTTGTTATACTCACTGTGGAACCTAAGGGGTTAATCCTCAGCATTGTAAAAATGGATGTTTGATACTGTCTTCTCTGATCCCCCACTTCTTCTTATGTCCATCTCCTGATAGAACAGAACCTTGGGGGCAAGCTGCACATGCTCAGTTTGGTGTGTATTGCGAATTTGATTTTTTTTCTTGGGAAAGTGCATGTGATCAGCACAGGGCCAAATAGCATTGTCCAGACAGAGGGTAAGGGGTCCTGCAGTCTCATTGGACAGTGAGAGGATAATGAAAACTCCTCCTGTTCTGTGCACTGTGGTAGACCGGATATAGTGAATGTAGGGTCCTCGGTTCAGTAACACTTTAAAGTGTATGTGAAAGAAAAATGAAAAACAAAAAACTATGCAGTGCATCTCTGCAATACCTGCACATTTCCCTTTTTTTCCCCATTTAACCTAGGTTCATACTACAGCGGTTGTGGAAATCCCATGTGATTCGCACAGGAACCGCACCGCATTCCTGTACCAATCAGAATGCAATTTGTATGAGGTACGATTGGAGCCATACATTTTGTATGGCTCTAATCACACTGCATACGCACCAAAAAGGTGCAGGACCCTTTTTTGGTCCGCACTAGAATCGGATCGCATTAGGTATTCACACCTATGCGATCCAATTCTGCACATCGCGCCTTGTTCTGCGAACCGATGTGGGGTTGTCGTTAACTTAACATACACACCCGCAGCGGTCCGTGTGAACGGGATGCGATTGTGATGCGGTGCAGAATTTTCACTGAAAACGTTGCAAATTGTGCACCGCATCAGTGTGAATGAAGGCTTAAAGAGCCTTTTCGTACAGGAAAAATACCAGGTGATCTGTCAAAAATGCACTCAGCTCCTAAAACAAAATTCCTACCAAAAATATCAAGATAAAATGCATAACCCCAAGAAAAGATAAAATACCAAAACCAACTTTAGCTGCAATATTCAGCTTCAATCCAGATATTCCCCTGCAGTACTTTTTCTGCAGCTAGATGTTCTCAGTCTGATGTCCAATCATCTAACTCACTTCCTCTGAGCTCAGGTCCCCCTGGACCCACCCCAGCCTGTGACTGGACAGTGAAAAGAGAAGCAGCACAGTGATGAGCTCATATCTCAGTCACTCTGCTCTCTCCTCCTATCAGCATGCTTATTGTCAGAACTGACTGACTCTTGCTGTTTCCTCTCACACTCCAGCTCTGGTGTACAGGGAGTGCAGGAGTCAAAGTCAATATCAGGTATGTACTGTACACTGCTTGCATTAAAAAAACATTTAATGATGTTTTAATGATTACAGATTTGCAATACTTTTTGTCATTTATTCCTGTGTAGAGTTCAGTTTCATACCCTATTATCAGCTGACCACACACACTTTTTTTGTCAACCGAGTGGTGTCACCCCTCCTAATGTGTTTTCTGCTACTCAACCACTACCATACTCACATCTATATCAAATCAAAGCTAATTTTTTAGTCCTAAACACACAGAAAGAATGCAGAGGACACAGGACAGCTCTGAATTTGCCACAAGATCAAAAGGTATTGTATGTACTTATTAAACAAATATTAAAAAAACTTAAAATAATATATTTAGTACTCTACCGTTATCCTTCACTATTCTGCTGTCAACTTCCTGCTGACCTGCAATAGACCATAAAATAGACCATAAAAAATACAAAAAATAATACATTCACTTAGTTATACTTCTGTGTGTATACAGTTGCAAGAAAAAGTATGTGAACCCCTTGGGATTACGTGGAGTTTTGCATGAATTGGGCATAAAATGTGCTCTGAACGTCATCTAAGTCACAACAATAGAAGAACACAGTCTGCTGAACATAATACCACACAAACATTAGATGTTGCCATGGTTTAATTGCACATAACATGTAAACATTCACAGTGCAGGGAGGAAAAAGTATGTGAACCTTTGGACTTAATAACTGGTTGACCCTCTTTTGGCAGCAATAACCTCAACCAAACGTTTCCTGTAGTTGCAGATCAGACCTGCACAACGATCTGGAGTCATTTTGGACCCCTCCTCTTCACAAAACTGTTTCAGTGTAGCAATATTATTGGGATGTCTGGTGTGAATCGCTCTCTTAAGGTCATGCCACAGTATTTCAATCGGGATGAGGTCAGGACTCTCACTGGGCCACTCCAGAAGGCGTATTCTGTGCTGTTGCAGCCATTGTTTTGTTGAATTACTTGTATGCTTTGGGTCATTGTCCTGGTGCATCACCCATCCTCTGCGGAGCTTCAGTTGGCAGACAGATGGTCGTACGTTTTCCTGCAAAATGTCTTGATAAACTCTGGAATTCATTTTCCCATCAATGACAACAATCCGTCCAGGCCCTGAAGCAGCAAAGCAGCCCCAAACCATGATGCTCCCTCCGCCATGTTTTACAGTGGGGATGAGGTTTTGATGTTGGTGTGCTGGGCCTTTTTTCTCCACACATAGTGTTGTGTGTTCTTCCCAAACAACTCAATCTTGGTTTCATCTGTCCACAGTATATTTTGCCAGTAGTGCTGTGGAACATCCAGGTGCTCTTCTGCAAACTTCAAACGTGCTGCAATATTCTTTTTGGACAGCAATGGCTTCCTCCGTGGTGTCCTCCCATGTACTCCATTCTTGTTTAATGTTTTCCTTATTGTAGATGTGTCAACATAAATGTTAGCATGTGCCAGAGATTTCTGTAGGTCTTTAGCTGACACTCTGGGATTCTTCTTTACCTCATGCAGCATTCTGCACTGTGCTCTTGCAGTCATTTTTACAGGATGACCACGTCTAGGGAGAGTAGCAACAGTGCTAAACTTTCTCCATTTGTAGACAGTCTGTCTTACCGTGGACACATGAACATCAAGGCTTTTGGAGATACTTTTGTAACCCTTTCCAGCTTCATGCAAGTCAACAATTCTTGATCGTAGGACTTCTGAGAGCTCTTTTGTGCGAGGCATGGTTCACATCAGACAGTGCTTCTTGAAACCAGTAAACCCAAAACGTGTGTGTTTTTTTTTAAGGGCAGGACAGCTGTCAGCAACACATCCAATATCATCACACTGATTGGAGTCAAGGTTGGCGCACTCCTGGCTCCAATTAGCTCTGGGAGAAGTCATTAAGCTAGGGCCTCACATACTTTTTTCCTCCCTTTACTGTGAATGTTTACATGTTATGTGCAATTAAATCATGGCAACATCTAATGTTTGTGTAGTATTATGTTCAGCAGACTGTGTTTCTTCTATTGTTGTGACTTAGATGACGTTCAGAGCACATTTTATGCCCAATTCATGCAAAACTCCATGTAATCCCAAGGGGTTCACATACTTTTTCTTGCAACTGTATACACATATACAATGCTGTGAACAAGTATTTGCCCCCTTCCTAATTTTTTTTTTTCATATTTGTCACATTTAATGATTCAGATCATCAAACAATTTTTTATATTACACACGAGTAAATACAAAATGCATTTTTAAATGATTATTTCATTTATTTGGGGAAAGCTGTCTAAACCTGCCTGGCCCTATGTGAAAAAAATAATTGCCCCCTAAACCGAATAACTGATTGTGCCACCGTTGGCGGCAACAACTGCAATCCAGCGTTTGCGTTAACTGGCAAGGAGTATTTTACATCGTTGTGGAGAAATTTTGGCCCACTCTTTGCAGAATTGTTTTAATTTAGCCACATTGGAGGGTTTTCAAGCATGAACTGTCTGTTTAACCACTTGCCGACTGCAGATAGCCGAATGATGGCTTCATTGCGGCCGGCCAGTTCTGGGAGGGCATCATATGACGTCCTCCCAGAACAAGCCCTCCTATGGACACAGCTGATCACGTGATGTGGTAAAAGGCCAATCACAATGGCCTTTTACCATGTGATCAGCCGTGTTCAATGATACAGCAAATCACCGGTAAATGCAGTTGCTGGTTATCGGCTGCACTTTCCTCACACTGTCACAGCATGAGGAAAGTATTGCCGATAACCGGCAATTGTCAGAGGAGGGATCATTGATCAGTGCCCTGATGATCAGTGCCCAGCAGTGCTACCCACCTGTGTCCAGCAGTGCCACCCATCAGTGTCGCCAGTCAGTGCCACCCATCAGTGCCCGTCATTGTTGCATATCAGTGCCAGCTCATCAGTGCCACCTATCTGTGCCCATCAGTGCCACCTATCAGTACCCATCATTGTTGCATATCAGTGCTGCCTATCAGTGCCACCTATCTGTGCCCGTCAGTGCTGCCTATCAGTGCCCATCATTGTTGCATATCAGTGCCAGCTCATCAGTGCTGCCTATCAGTGCCACCTATCTGTGCCCGTCAGTGCTGCCTATCAGTGCAGCCTCATCAATGCACATCAATGAAGGAGAAAAATTACCTGTTTGCAAGATTTTATAATAGAAACAAAGAAAATTTATGTGAAAAAAGTTATAAAAATTTCATATGAGTACAGTGTTGCATGACCACGCAATTGTCACTCAAAGTGCGACAGTGCTGAAAGCTTGCCTGGGCAGGAAGGGGGTATAAGTGCCTGGTAGGCAAGTGGTTAAGGTCATGCCACAGTATTTCAATCAGATTTAAGTCCGGACTTTGACTAGGCCACTCAAAAACCTTAATGTTGTATTTTTTGAGCCATTCAGAGGTGGACTTGCTGGTATGTTTCAGATCATTTTCCAGCTGCATAACCCAAGTGTGCTTGAGCTTTAGGTCACGGACTGATAGCTGGACATTTTCCTTCAGGATGTTCTGGTAGAGTGCAGAATTCATGGTTACATCAAATATGGCAAGTCCTCAAGGTCCTGAAGCTCCAAAGCAGCCCCAGACCATCACACTACCACCACCATGTTTGACTGTTGGTGTGATGTCCTTTTTATGAAATGCTGTGTTAGTTTTACACCAGATGTTACGGGACACATTCCAAAAAATTCAACTTTGTCTTATCAATCCACAGAATATTTGCCCATGAGTCTTGGAAATAATCAAGCTGATTTTTGGCAAATGTGAGATGAGCCTTTGTGTTCTTTTTGGTCAGCAGTGGCTTTCACCTGGGAACTCTCCCATGGATGCCATTTTTACCTCTTCCTTATTGTTGAATCATGAACACTGACCTTAACTCAGGCAAGTGAGGTCTGTAGTTCTTTAGATATTGCTATGGGTTCTTTTATGACCTCCTGGATGAGTCATTGTTGTGCTCTTGGAGTCATTTTGGTAGGCTGGCCAATCCTGGGAAGGTTCACTACTTTTCCAAATGTTCTCCATTTGTGGATAATGGCTCTCACCATGGTTTTCTGGAGTCCCAAAGCCTTAGAAATGGCTTTGTAACCCTTTCCAGACTGATACATGTCAAATGCTTTTTTTCTCATCTTTCTTACATTTCTTTAGATCACAGCATGATGTGTTGCTTTTTGAGATCTTTCAGCGTGCTTCGCTTTGTCAGACAGCTTTTATTTAAGTCATTTCTTGATTCAGCAGGTCTGGCAGTAATCAGGCCTGGGTGTAGCAAGTAAAATTTAACATGGATTTCCAAAAAATGTGGTTAATCACAGTTCATTTGTTACTTAGCAAGGGGACAATTACTTTTTCACATAGGGCCAGGCAGGTTTAGACAGCTTTTTTTTCCCTTAATAAATGAAATAATCATTTAAAAACTGCATTTTGTGTTTAATTGGTTTACTCTTTATGTACAATTAGAATTTGTTTGATGATCCTTACTAACCGTTCCATATCTGCCATCCCTCTCTGCCAAGCCCTCCAGTGACTTCCCATTGCCCAACGAATAAAATTCAAAACATTAACAATAACATATAAAGCCATTTATAACTCTGCCTCAAATTACATCACCAATCTTGTCTCTAAATGTCACCCAAACAGTACTCTCCGCTCCTCGCACGACCTCCTACTCTCTCACTCGCTTGTCTCCTCCTCCCATGCTCATCTCCAGGACTTCTCCAGAGCCTCCCCCATCCTCTGGAACTCTCTACCCCAATTTATCAGACTATCGCCTACTTTTATGCAATTTATGAAAACCTATCTCTTCAGGGAAGCCTATCCTGCCTTCAGCTAATAATGGAATTTTCTCTTCTTCCTACCAGTCCATCCCCACAGTTATTACCTTTTGTACCACCAGCCCCTCCCTCTTAGATTGTAAGCTCCAAGGAGCAGGGCCCTCCTAACCCTCTTGTATTGAACTGTATTGTTGCTGTATTGTCTCCCGTTATATTGTAAAGCGCTGAGCAAAACTGTTGGCGCTATATAAATCCTGTATAATATTAATCTGAATCATTTAAGTGTAACAAATATGCAAAAAATTAAATCAGGAAGGGGGCAAATACTTTTTTCGCATGTGTTTATATGTATGTATGTATGTATGTATGTATATCTACATAACTATCATAAACCATATACCACCTCAAATTTAAAATGGGAATATGCATAACAAAGGATAGCACAATCTAAAAATATGAAAAAATAATGTTACAGAAAAACAAAACAAAAAAAGGAAGAAGAAAAAATAAATAAATAGAAGAAAGAAAAAAAAATAGATTATTGTGACAGTTTACACACACTTTAATAGTCTTGTATAAAGAAATAATGTTTAGTACTCTACCTTTGTTCTCCACTATTTTGCTGTCAACTTTCCGCTGATCTGCAATGGACCATAAAATACAAAGAGGTTTTTCTCAAACTTATAAAACATATAAATTAATTTACACACACACACCTCTTATAATCCTACAATAAATTAAATATTAAAAGTGAATATACCATCTCAAATTTCAATTGGCAATATGCATAACAGACATTAGCACAGTCCATATAATGATAGATCTTTTTTTTGTAATAGACTACTGCATCAACACTCTAAATTTGCAGTGCCAACAATTGTATTCTGACAGCTGGACCTAGAGTGCAGCTGCATTTGACTGTATGCAGTCACTGTTCGGTTGATATTCTACTGCTTAGCTCCTTCGATTTCACCAAAATTTGCTCACTGTATAGCCAGCTTAAAGAATGGATGTCTCAACAACAGAGACAATCACAGACACTCATGGCCAGTAAAATCTTTACAAACAAGGTACCAAGGTATTATTCCTTCAATTGTAGAAGTTGTTAATACATACAGACCAAATCTGTCAGACCTATGCAAGTTTCAAATTTTCAAACATCTGTTCACCAAAACACAAAATTGCACTGTGGTTTGTGGCATATAGTGAAAACCTGAGGACTTCCAGCGCATACTGGTGCCACTCTAAAATGGTACCTTCTAGCAAATTGCAGAGTTAGTTTGGCCCAAAAGGTGCCATTCTTAGGCATAGATTTAAAACGAATGTAAAGGGTTTTCAATGTTTCTATATAAACATCTGAAAAACAGCACACTTATGAAAACAATCTTAGCAGTATGCCTTAATATTTAAAAAAAATTGTTTATGCAATTTTGTAATGTTCATTGGGATAGCCATATACACTATATTGCCAAAAAGTATTGGGACGCCTGCCTTTACATGTACATGAACATTAATGGCATCCCAGTCTTAGTCAGGGTTCAATATTGAGTTGGCCCACCCTTTGCAGCTATAACAGCTTCAACTCTGCTGGGAAGGCTGTCAACAAAGTTTAGGAGTGTGTTTATGGGAATGTTTGACCATTCTTCCAGAAGCGCATTTGTGAGGTCAGGCACTGATGTTGGATGAGAAAGCCTGGCTCTCAGTCTCCACTCTAATTCATCCCAAAGGTGTTCTATCGGGTCAAGGTCAGGACTCTGTGAGGACCAGTCAAGTTCCTCCACATCCATGCCTCTATGGACCTTACTTTGTGCACTGGTGCGCAGTAATGTTTGAACAGGATGGGGCCATCCCCAAACTGTTCCCACAAGGTTGGGAGCATGAAATTGTCCAAAATGAGGCCAAGCCCAAACCCTGAAAACCAACCCCACACCATAATCCCCCTTCCATAAAATTTTACACTTGGCACAATGTAGTCAGGTAAGTACTGTTCTCCTGGCAACTGCCAAACTCAGACACGTCCATTGGCTTGCCAGACAGAGAAGCGTGATTAGTCACTCCAGAGAACATGTCTCCACTGCTCTAGAGTCCAGTGGTGGCGTGCTTTACACCACTGCATGCGACGCTTTGCATTGCACTTGGTCACGTAAGGCTTGGCTGCAGCTCCTTGGCCATGGAAACCCATTCCATAAAACTCTCTACGCACTGTTGTGCTAAGCTGAAGGCTACATGAAGTTTGGAGGTCTTTAGCTATTCACTCTGCAGACAGTTGGCGACTTCTGTCACTGTGCGCTTCAGCATGCGCTGACCCCGCTCTGTCATTTTATGTAGCCTACCACTTTGTGGTTGAGTTGCTGTTGTTCCCAGTTGCTTCCACTTTGTTACAATGCCACTAACAATGGACCGTGGAATATTTTGTTGTAAGAAAATTTCACGGATGGACTTATTGCACAGGTGACAACCTATCACGGTACCACGCTTGAATTCACTGAGCTTCTGTGAGCGACCCATTCTTTCACAAATGTTTGTAGAAGCAATCTGCATGCCTAGGTGCTTGATTTTTTACACCTGTGGCCATGTAGGTGATTGGAACACCTGAGTCCACAAAATGTTGCGCCATTTCTCTTTAGGCCAGTCAATGTGCTCTTTGGCAAACTGTAACCTCTTCAGCACATGTCTTTTTTTCGGCAGTGGGACTTTGCGGGGGCTTCTTGCAGATAGCTTGGCTTCACATAGGTGTCTTCTAATTGTAACAGCACTCACAGGTAACTTTACACCTTCTTTGATCTTCCTGGAGCTGATTGTTGGCTGAGTCCTTGCCATTTTGGCTATTCTTCTATCCATCTGAATGGTAGTTTTTTGCTTTCTTCCACATCTTTCAGGTTTTAGTTGCCATTTTAAAGCATTTGCTATCATTTTAGCTGAGCAGCCTATCATTTTCTGCACTTCTTTATATGTTTTCCCCTCTCCAATCAACTTTTTAATCAAGGTACACTGTTCTTCTGAAGAATGTCTGGAATGACCTGTTTTCCTCAGAATTTCAGAGAGAAATGCACTGTAACCAGCATGTACAACATTTGCTGCCTTCCTTAAATAATGGCAATAATTGCCACCTGTTTTTCAAAGAATGAATGACCTCACTAATAGAACTCCATTCTGCTATTATTTTGAACATGCCCCTTTCAATTAGTGATTCAATTACACAGAATCAGCAGCATGCATGTCATGACTGTTGGGTCTGTTGGATTTCTATTACTCTGCTACACCTGCTAGTAAATTATTTGCAACGTAGAAATATAATATCTACCAAAAACAGTGATTGATCAGGTTAGTGATGTCTGACTGCTATTATTTTGAACACAACTGTATATATACGTGATTTTGCAGTTCCAGGTAGGGGGCACACGCAAGCCCTACCCGCGCCACCATTCGCGGCCTCGGCTGTTAATCACCAGGTCCCGGCCAGTGATTGCTCGCCGGCACCCGGTGATCACCAAGTATCTCCGACGGGGGAGAGACCTGTATATAAACAACACGGATCTCTCCCCTGTCAGCTCCTGCACACTGCTGAGCAGAGCCACACTGCATAGCAGAGCCATACAAAGCAGTGTGCTTACAGCGAAGCACACACACAGCCAACATAGTGAAATAGCACACAGTTAACCCTTTAATCATCCCAGATGTTAACCCCTTCCTGGTCAGTGCCATTAGTACAGTGTCAGTGCTTTTTATTAGTACCGATCACTGTATTGGTGTCACTGGGGATGTCAGTAACACCAAGTCAGTTCCCTCCAGTGTCACAATGCCCACCGCAGTCCCGCTGATTGCGCCATTACTAGTAAAAAAAAAAAAAAAATTCTAGAATATATACCACCATTTCTAAATGCTATAACTTTCACGTAAACCAATTAATTTACACGTATTGGGATTTTTTTTAGACATGTAGCAGAATACATTTTGGCCTAAATTTATGACAAAATTTGATTTTTTACATTTTTTTACTGGACATGTTTAATAGCAAAAAATCAAAAATATTGTTTTTCTCAAAATCGCTGGTCTTTTTTTATAGCGTAAAAAATAAAAACCGCACAGGTGATCAAATACCACAGAAAGAAAGCTCTATTTGTGGGGAAAAAAGGACGTAAATTTCATTTGGGTACAGCATTGCATGACTATGCAATTGTCAGTTAAAATCAGGAAGGGATTAAATCCTCTGGAGGGCAAGTGGTTAAGTGACAGCTCTGAGTCTGTTTGAGCTGATGACATCACAACCAAGATAGCGGCACTCAATAACAGTCCCAGGACATTTGAATGTCTACAGAGGGGAGGCTTTTACAGGTAAATCACAGTCCTGAAATACAGTAAATGTATATTTAATCTTACGAGCCTCCAGTATCACAGCCCATTTAAAGTGCTGGCAGCCCTGGTGTGAAGGAGTAAAGGACATAGTGCTGCTCCTACAAACCCAAAGATTAGAGGAGGATTGGGGAACTTTTGCTAGGGGGCAACTATAACCAAGAAACCCTTTAATTATAGGTACAGATTTCTGTGTGCAAGCAAAAATGTACCACACAAATTGTGCTGCAGGGATTAGAAACATAGAAAACTGACGGCAGAAAAAGACTAAGTGGTCCATCGAGCCTGCCCGTTTTTTTTTTTTTTTTTTTGTTTTTTTTAGGGGGGGGTGCTTTTTTTGTTGTTTTTTTTGTCTGAGTATAGATATATGCTTGAAGCTATTTACTGTTGACTGGCTCACTACCTCTGCTGGAAGTGTATTCCAAGTATCAACTACTCTTTCAGTACATCCAGGTTTCCCTTAACATAAGTGTTGTTTCCACTTTTCATTTTAGTGATCCCATCATATTTTTTCTATCACTAATGTACCTAAAAAAGGTTTTATCTTCTTTCTTAATATATTTTGCAATTTCTTCCTCTTTCTGTGCTTTGGCAGCACTGATGTTTTTGGCCTCCTTTTGTCTATTCTTATACTCTTCCCTGTCAGCCACACCTCCTGTTTCCTTGAAATTCTTATATGCTGATTTTTTTTCCTTACTATCCTACTTATTTCTTCAGTGAACCATATTGTTTTTTTCTTCCGTTTATTCTTACTAACTTGCCTGACATATAACATAGTTGCCTCCAGTATGGTGGACTTTAGCAGTGCCCACTGATTACTTATTCCTGTCATTTTACTCCAACCTTTCAACTCATTTTTAGAAAGTCACCCATTTCAGCAAAATGTGTCCTTTTGAAATCTAAAACTTTTGTTTTTGTATATGATTTTTCAGTTTTTATTTTAATACCAAACCAAAGACATTGGTGATCACTAGAACCCAAATTTTCATTCACCTCAACATTAGACAGTTGATTGGGGGACATGGTGAAATATGGGTGTTTCTAAAGCACAGGATTTAGTGTACCACCATTTCACATTTTTTCAACGACAGCTAACTTTGCAGCTCTTGGCATTTAGTCACATATTTTAGAGCTGCAAAGATAGCCCATGCTAAAGCTTCATTTTGCTATATGCTGTGATGATATGTGTCACTAAATACAGGTCCCACTCTGATTGAGGTCTGAATAGGGAGGTACCCCCACTCAGATCCACCAGCCATATGTAGCTTACTAGTATTAGACCAAGGAGCAAA